AACTGTGAAAGAAAGCTGTGACAGATGTGGGCTGCACTACCTTGAACATGCTCGACATTACTCACATACACACTCGCTGACTTTTTCTCTTTTGTTGAATGAATGCTTTTTCTTCCCTCTATTTGTCATTTTTGCAGCAATGCTAAGGTCTGACCTTTACTCACTCAAAAGGACGCAGAGTCTACATAGGTCATGCTGCTATTCAAGACTGCTGCAGTGCATTTAATTCGGGTTTTTAAAGGCTACAGTTGCTGCACTTCTTCTTTCAGTTCTCTTACCTTTATTAAATGATATTAATGAAATTTCATTCAACATTAATAATAACAAATGCACCCGAAAGATGTTTAATAAAACAGACTCACAATTAAACTTATCTGTCTTTGCCTCATCCAGCAGTTATCAATTCATGCTTTGCACAATGACACATAATAATTCACCGCCGAACGGCACGAGAGACTCTTACTAACCTCAGGTTGTCATGGCGACTGGAGTCTGGCTTCAAAGCAGCGGTGCTGTGCATCTTATGTAAGGTCATCACCAACACAATGAGGTTTAACTGATGGCAAAAGAGGAAGATCAAACACAGTCAAATATATGCTCATTAAAAAAAAATTACTGATCATGACGCTATGACACAGTCAAACAGGAAGCGGTTGGCATTTCTAACACGAGATGAAATCTCACCGTAATGATGACAGCAACAGGTCCGAGGAAACTCCAGATAAAGTAATTGTCTGTGCGTAGCCAGCATCTGCAAATATATACAAACAAAACAACAAATTACAGGAAAATAGGAATCTCAAGAAAAACAAATTAATAAGCAGGAGATGACACAACAATACGGAGTAACTGTCCCCATGCAGCTTCCAAGAATGTGGAGTCAAAGCCACACACAGCAAACACGCCCACAGACCAGTCATCTTACGCAGTTTTCGAGCCGTAGCCTCTAAAGTCGATGGCTGCGGACACGGCCACCACCAGCCCAGGAACAGAGTATCCACACAGGTAGAAATACTTCCTCCTGGAGTTCCGCCCCTCGAACACCTCCCGCTGGAGCAGGTACAGTTCCACTCCTTCCAGACACAACCAACAAAACACAGAGAGCAGCGAAAAGTGCAGCAGGCCGGCGGTGATGGAGCAGAGAACCTGAAAAATCAGGAGGCAGCCAAAAGGTGATTTATTACTATTGAGTTATTATGCCAAGCTTTTAAAATGATTATCTAGATCAAGATGCACTTCTTTAAAATGCTATTGTTTTCTAGTCCAATATCATCATAAAAAGAAATAAAACACTAACAGTGTACTGAGTCTTGTTGGCACCAACAAGGAAAAGAACTTCAGTGATGAGCAGGTTAGCCCACAGGTTACAGTGAATGGTGCTGTGGTCTGTATGCCAGGGCGCCCCCTGGCAGCATAGTGTGGTAAGGCAGGTCGCCAAGCACACCAATGCTACGGAGATGCCAACCCAGGAAACCACATAGACAAAAAGCTCTTCCACACCAGCTCCGAACTGACAAAGAAAAGCAGACATGAAAGAAAGTGTAAGACATTCATAGATATTTATCTTGATGCCCATTTATTTGTGGGCATATCACGTGCT